TGCTGGAGTTATATATGTGTACCATCAAATTACAGCTGAGCTAAGCTTAGAAGCCACAAAGTAAAGAGGCAGACAGGATAGAAACTAAAGCAACCAATTAGAACTGAGCTTTCTCTCTGCATTTAACAGTAACTCATGAAGACAGCATCTCATACTAAAGGAGATTTAATTTTTAATTCACATGTATAATCATGAATATACAATAAAATATTATACATGACATAACTGTAAGGGCCAAAGTAGTGTTTTAAGTTTTATTTACTGTGCTTAAGAGAGTTATAAAAACAAAAATGCCTCTAAGGAAAGATAAACATGCAAACCCCCACTTGCCCAAGGTCAGACAACTTCCTGAAATGCTGGGGACTGTTGTTCGTGTAAAATAACATCCTGAGTGTCGGTATTTTCACTTTTGTAAACAAGGTTGGTTGCTCCAACTGCACAAGATGTGCTTGATCACACTTAGGCAGGAAGTATGTGAGAGCGTATACTTGCCCCTGATTGGACAAAGGCAGAAAGTATGTTGCCCTGTGGGTCTTCCTTTTTATCAGCACCAGACTAACATAATTCACAGCTGTTTTCTGGGAATCCCATGTTTGGACCTGGCCAGTGTACATCATCCTGGCCAGTATTTAATGAAGATTGCTTCAAATTTGACTCAACACTTGCAGTAGTGGTCTTATTCTCACCCAGTTAGATTAACAAAGCACTCCAAAGAACAGCAAGTACCATGAACTAAATGTGTGTGAATTTATACTTCTTCTCTCAATGTCTAAGTATCCTTTAGGTTCCCAAAATCTGAACTTTATCTAAATAATTATAGGAGCGCAAATGAGTCCTCACAGAACTCCTTCAAAAGATCAAGATTTTTAGGTTCTATTTTTTTTTTTTTAGTAGCTAAAATATACCACTTATCATAGCTGCCTTTGGAATGATGATTTTATAACCAATAGATAATTGAGTAATATTTCCTATTATTGAAATCTTTGTCATTTTATTTCAGGGGAAAATTGCAACTTAGATTTGAATGACAATGAAAAGTTTGCGCTCTCAATTTAATAATTTACTAATGTTGATGATCTTGAAAGAATTTAAAGCATAAATTAACAAAACTATACTCTGACCCCTATCGCCAATGAAATAAAAATAATTATAGGCAGACCTTTGATTTATTTTATACATCTTAAATAATTTTGCTTAAAGAGTACATGCAAATTAGTGCATGATTACATCCAGTTCTTGAGGAAACATTTAGAATATTCTCACCCAGTTCATGGTAGAGCAATACAGCCAGGCATTACTTTACGAACTAAAAAATTCTCAATAATGTAAAATTTTGGAGTTGTGCCACTGGAGGAAGAATTATGATAATGGCCTTTGAAAAGAATAATCTAAATCACCTCATTCATATTAAAATATCAGAAATGAAGTTAGACATACTTAGAATATAAGTGTTCTTCTACAATGTCTTGAACTAAATTGATGCTTATTGAATCTTCAGAGCTAGGTAAAACTCAGTGGTAGGCTATTTGCATAATATGTTTGAGGCTATGATTTCAATGCTCCATACCAGAAAAAATAAAATTAGTGGTTGCTTATAAAAGCTTTGCCCTTTCAAAATAAAACGTTCATTTGCTTTCCAGTACACCATACGTAACATCTAAGAAGCAACAATTATGGGCATAATTATGTTACTACAGAGACAATAGCCTAGAAAGGAAGGAAGGGATTATTATGTTATTTACTCCCCAAATAATATTCAATTTCAAGACACAATGACTCAGGTAATGGCTTTGTACTTTTTAAATATTAAATACATGTTTTTACTAAAAACAATACAAAAACAAAAACCAGGACACCTAAGAATGACCACATTGAAAGAAAATGTCTCAGAAAAAAATTATCATGGACAAGTTCAAACTATCTTCTGTACTTTTAAAAGAACTGATGCTCCCTATAATTCTATAGTAGAATGAATTCTTAAGATTTTTAATGATGCATTAAAACATAAAACATATTTATATAAATGGAATACCATGTTTCAAACATGGAAATCATCATGTGTCATGTTAAAATACTTGTAATTTTTTTCTAGTGAAAACTTACAATTGCTTTTCTCAAGCATTTTGAAATGTACAGTCCATTAGTATCAATGATCATCCTCCTGGGGATTAACACCAGCATGTTACTTCTCTCTGACTCTACTATATCCACTCAGTACCATTTCCCTGCCCTCACCCTCACCCTCTTCTTCTGTCACCTCCCATCTATGCTTAACTTCTATGAGATTAACTTTTCCAGGTATTCTGTGTAGGTGAGATGCTGGGACACTTTCCCCTCATGCCTGTCTTCTCTTTTAACTGGGTTTCCAGCAACATTTAGGTGGTGACACATGGCAGGAATTTATAGTTTTATTAAGGTTGATCAAGAACTTTTGCTGCTGTACCATTCTTCTAGACATCAGGACTCAACTATTTCCACCTTCAGGCACAAGCACACATTTTATTCCTATGACAGCAAGAAAAAGAAACCAAATAGAGGTGTTCATTTTGAACTTCTCTTTCTCAAAACTGACCTGAAATACATCTCATGCACTGCTCTATGATGAAAATTTATGTGGAAAATCCAGGTACTGTAGTAATGAATGCTATTGAATTACCTGTGAACTTTCCTGGTTTGAAATTATATTTCTGGAGATTCTACCTTCTAGAGAATAATTTCAGTTGGAAGAATATTAAGCATATAAAATATTACATCCAAGCTGACTTTCTTGCCTTTAATCATACAAGTAAAAGGTTAAAGCAAAGTGCCTGGAGAGTTCACTATAATCAAATTTGTAGCTGACAAAGTGGGTATTTTTCTGATTTTCCCCAAGGAGCTAGTTTGCAGCTTCAATATAGAAGCTGAGAGCAGAGAAATGAATGATCAGGGACTGTCTGAGGCTCCAAATCATCTGCTGTTGTAACAGGCAAGGGAACCAAACATAGATTGGTTTATGAAACACAGCAATCATTCCCGAGAATGTCAGTCAACATTAAAACATCTCTGTTCAACACATTCTAAAATTACTTCATCTTTTCTTCATCTTCAGTACTTACTTTAATCATTGGGCAGAAAACGCAAAGGTAGGGGAAATTTCAATTCAGGTTTTACTGTAATTGAAAATCTGAGCTAGAGACATAGCTGAGTAGAGAAAGTGGCTGCTACAAAAGCACGAGATCCTGAGTTCAGTCCCCCTGCACTGGTATAAAAGCCAGGCAAGGTGGTGCACATCTATAACCCTGGCTCTGGCAGGGCAAGGGGAGGGAAAGAGGAGCTTGCTAGCCAAACAGTGTACCCAATAAGTGAACTTTGGGATCAGTGAGAGACTGTAAAATTAAAGTAGGGAGTAATTAAAGAAGATTATTAACACTACCCTTTGGCTTCCATACACCTGTATACATGCTTATACATGCACCTTCATTACACATGCATAAATACAAACACCACACACACACACACACACACACACACTCCTGATATACATTGCTAATAAGGACAGACAGAAAAGTATTTTAATCTTAGCTTTTATAGCATATATTTACATGCTACTTAAGTGTACACATTTCACAATGCTTTAATAAATCTTAGTAACCAAGTGTTCCTGAAGGTGTATGTATTTTGTATCTGTAAAAATAAAATAATACTATCATAGCTACTATAGTCATCATATCCCACACATCTTCATAGATTCATATTACTTATGTTGAGTTCTTGTGCTTTTAAGATCTAATTTGAGGCTAGGGAAGGGACATAATCTGTTAAGTGATTCAGGAACTCATAGTGTTGCAGGAGGTGCTAACTTAAATACATCTCATTGGAGGTCACCATGGACACCAACATCCCATCAGTACATAGAGAAAGATTCTGTAAATTAGATGGGAGACTTTCATAAACTGAGTCTAGAAGTCACATATGCCACCTTGATAGACAATCTATTGGGTATATAACTTCTAGCAGAGGTAATCTGAAATGAGGTGAGTCTTAGAAAGAAAGAATAGGAAAATCGCTATTTATTGTTCTTGATGATGAAAATGTTTATGAGACAGGATCTCACTATGAAATCATGGCTGACCTGAAACTCATTATGTATACCAGGCTGGCCTCAAACTCACAGAGATCTGCCTGCCTTGGTGTCTTCAATGCTAGGATTAAAAGAATGTACCACTATTCCCAGCAGGAAAACAGTTTTTTGTTTTGTTTTGTTTTTTGTTTGTTTTTTTGTTTAAAAAAAAAATCTGGCCAGTCTATTTGGTGATCTAATTTTATCAATATGTTATTAGAACTTTACATTTACCACATTTTTTAAAAATTAGGATCCTCTTTTATAATTTTGGGTCAATTCACAGAGTAAAAATCATCCTTCCAAGACTATGCATACAGCCAGATTTATGGATTTCTTATCATTTTAACATAAAGAAAGAAAGTCACTATGAACTATAAGTAATAATGACTACCAGTGAAACAGGTGTTTGATAGAGGCATTGGCTGACTCATGGAGAAGACAGCTTGCACAGGTGTAGAAACTATGAAATGATATTGATGGATATGACTGAGGATCTTTGCTTTTGTTCAATGTATCTTCCCTCACCATCTTTGTCTCCAGTTTAGTATGCCATCCCTCAGCGTATTTGTCCTTGTCAATGGGTCATCCACAACATCTTTGCACTTATTTAGTGTGTCCTCCCTTGGTATCTTTGTCTTTGATCAGTGTGTCCTCCTTTAGTAGCACTCATGTTCCTAAAGGTTGACTTGTAGCTTCTCTAATGGTATCTCGGATCACCTGTGAACAAATGGAGGCACTTCCCTGGAGATCCCTTAACATTATACCACCAAGGTATACCTTCAGTTATAGACTGAGTAGGTTACAAAACATCCACCACACTGCCTACAATCCAAGAAGAATATCCATTGAAACATATGGACCAGAATTTCTTCAGATGTTCCACTGAAGCCAAACTCACCAGACACTTGTAATTTGGTCACCATTTCTCACAGTCTTTCCAGGTGCTAAGAGGTTCTGCCTGAGATCATACGTAGTAAATTCCTTTCATGCACAGCAACTTCCACTTTAATCTCTGTATCTCAGGATCCTGAATCAATACATAAAATAAGTCATTGAGATGTGTTTTAAGTCCCTGGTATCCCTAGACAAGTTTAGCACAGGCAGTGAAGCTGCCAAGTTTGCATTTATAGTCTAGACAATATGTCGGCATCACCTATTTAGAAAGCAGCCTTTTCTTGTTTGCATCTATACTGGGAGCCCATGGATCCCTTTATACTCAGCAGCACCATGTTTAAAAAAAAAAAAAAAAAAAGAGAGGGAATGACTCATCCCAGGAAGAAAGTCAAGCCCAGAAAGTCAGATAATAGAAAAGATGATGATGCGAGTTCATCAGCAGGGACTGATGCATTTTAACCTGCATCAGTGTGTGCATAGGTCAGTGCAGTTGGGTGTTAAATAATGTTTCTGAAACACATCATGCACACATAAAATGATCATGACCTACCCAAGCGTAGCCTACTAAAAATGGAAACATTTTAAAGGTAAATGAAATTGTTTAGGAATTTAAAGATAACTTCTAAATCCTATCATCTAATATACAACTATAAGTATATTAAACTTTGCCAAATTTACATATAAATGTTCAGTAATAAAAGTCTATATAGTATATGTAATATATATATTTTAATGGAATATATATATATATAAGTCAGCTGACATCAATATATAACTAGTAAAATAATATTCATAATCATATGTAGATGAAAGTGAAAAAGTAACACATTCTTGAAGGATGATTCTCACTTTTATTCATTGGGACATTGATATCTATCATCTATCTATGGCAAATAAGAAACTATGACAAAGAAGAACTGTAGTGGGTAGCCATTCCAGCTTTGATCTGGAAGTTCCAACCCCCATTGAGGCTTCGGTAACTGTCACACCTACAAGGCGGGGCCAAGAGAGGACCCTGAAGACCCGAGATCTGCATGGGCCGGCTCCTCTTAGTTCCTGGACCCTGGACGCTGGAGGCAGACCGAGTAGAGTTCTCCAGAGAACACCGCAGGACTGTGCCACATCTTTCCTAGACCCTACAACGTACCTATCCCTTCATTTGTAAGTTACACCACTAAATAAACCTTCCTTTTAACTACGTGGAGTGGCATTAATAATTGCACCTATAAGGAACAATACAGGAAAACCCAATGAATAGCCACATCCTAAACCTTGTAAATATTAACATATATAATCAATGCAAAATGTGCCAATGAGGTTAATATATATGCTATGAAGTAGTAATAGCAACATTTTCTTTAAACAAGAGAAATCTTAATAGTCAAGAAGAATAATAGATATTGGAAAGTATTATTTAAATATATTAGAAATTACATGTTTCCCTTAATTTAGCAAAATAAATATTCATAAATGCTCTAAATAATTTACCAGGTACATTTAAATTATACCATAGCTGCATGTTATCTATGATAAATATACTAAAAATTATTTAGGGAGATGTTTAATGTGAAGAAATATAAAATAGAAGTAGAAAATTTACATGCCATCAAAATGAATGCTTTTATGATTGCATTAGTAAAGGAAAAATGTTCAGATTTTTACTTATACAACTTTTATTATAGTTCTAACAGAAATTTGAAATGTATTTAATTATTAAGAGAGCAGTTCAGTTAATCCAGAATATATAACTGCATTAGACTTATGTGGAACTAACAAAATAGATATATAACACAAAAGATTATTATCTAAGTATATGTATCTCCTATATAGAAATGCTTAGACTTTATATGCCTTACAAAGTTATAGCTATATAATGTAATATATATATATATAAAGCTATATAATGTTATAAACAAAACTGTAAGTCTTCTGTAAAATAAACACATATCTACACATAAATGTATATGTTATATTAGTAATTAAATATTCTCTCAACACATTGAAGTTAAGGAAGAAAACAAGAAATAAAATACAAAAGATCCATATTTTTAATTATCAAGCATGATTGCAAAAAAGTAGATGATAGTGGAGATTAAAAACATGGAACCAAATAGAAGGGAATGAGATAAAGATAATTTGGTAAGAAATATATAACTATATATTAAAAAAATAAAGATTTTTAATTTAATTAAGCATTTGCCGGGCGGTGGTAGCACACGCCTTTAATCCCAGCACTCGGGATGCAGAAGCAGGCGGATCTCTGTGAGTTTGAGGCCAGCCTGGTCTTCAAAGTGAGTTCCAGGAAAGGCGCAAAGCTACACAGAGAAACCTTGTCTTGGAAAAAAAAATTAATGAAGCATGCTGCGGGCCACAGAAATATATCATAAGAACTCAGCTGGTTATGGCAAAGTCACTACCTGGAGGGATCAGGGAATTCCTCCAGAGGAAGCCAAATCCCAAG